AACCGGCCATCCCTATATGGGATCCGAACCCGTGGCCTTGGTGTTATCAGCGCCGCACTCTCCCGAGTGAGCCACAGGCCGGCCCCAAATAGACTTTATTTTTTAGAGCAATTTTAGGTTCACAGCAAAACTGAGCAGAAAGTACAGAGTTCCCATATTCCCCCTGCCCCTACAGATGCAGCCTCCCTCACCATCAATATTCTGCACCAGAGTGGGACATTTGTTACAATAAATGAACCTACGTTGACAAGTCATTGTTGCCTGAAGTCCGCATAGCTTCCATTAGAATTCACTCTTGGTGTTATACGTTCTACAGGTTTGGACAAATGTATGACATGTATTCACCGTTATAGTATCATACGGAATAGTTTCACTGCCCTAAAAATCCCTTGTATTCTGCCTATTCATCTCTCTCTTCCTCCTGCCTCTTGGCAACCATTAATCCTTTTACCGTCTCTGTAGTTCTGCCTTTTCCAAAATGTCATATAGTTGGAGTCATACATTATGTAGCTTTTTCAGATTGGCTCTGTCACTTGTAATATGCATTTAAGATTCCTCCATGTTTTTTCATGGCTTGATAGCTCATTTCTTTTTAGCACCGAATAATATTCCAAGGGATTGGTATTTCTATTTCACTATACAGATGAAGAATCAGGCATAGAAAGGATAAAGAACTCTCCTAGGTACAGCTTGTACAGCTCTGTCTGACTCCAGAGTCCGAACTCGTAAACATTTTACCATAGCCCTGAAGCCCAGAGAAATTTGGTTTCCATGATGCAGTTTGTCACATGACAGAGTTGGGGTACAAGGAAAGCCAAAGCAACAGAGCTAGGCACAGAAAGTATCCACAACTGTTGGTATAGCAACAAAAATTAAAAGCCTAGGGCCGGCCCGTGGCTCACTTGGGAGACTGTGGTGCTGATAACACCAAGGCCATGGGTTCGGATCCCTATATAGGGATGGCCGGTTAGCTCACTTGGGAGAGCGTGGTGCTGACAACACCAAGTCAAAGGGTTAAGATCCCCTTACCGGTCATCTTAAAAAAAAAAAAATTATAAACCTAGGATATAAGGCTTTGTTTCAAAAGTTCCAAATATTTAGTTTAGATTTTAAAAATGCTATATACTTATGAAATTCTGGTTTAGCACACTCTCTCCTTTACTGGTTTGAGAAAATGTTTCTTTTCCCTGACCCTTAATTTTATTGTCTTTCAGATTCAATCTGGGTGCTGGTGCCCAGCCACTCCAGTGCCAATGAAGTACATCCTGGTCACTGGTGGGGTCATCTCAGGCATTGGTAAAGGCATCATCACCAGCAGCATTGGGATGATTCTAAAATCATGTGGACTCCGAGTTACTGCCATCAAAATCGACCCCTATATTAACATCGATGCAGGCACTTTTTCACCTTATGAACATGGTATGAAAGAGAACCATTTTCCCCCTTAGAAAGCACTAGGCTAAATTGGAGATCTTTCTTGTATTTTATGTAATTTCTTTAGGATGGGTTCCAGAAGTAGAGTGGCTGGATCATATCGTATGTGAATGTTCTCACGGTCATTGATACATTTTTCAGATCGCTATTACCCCAAATTAGTCAACCCTTTTGGAAAACATTGTACCTTTTGCACTATAGATTATGTTTTGTTTTATTTTATCATAAAGGTAATATATTTCTCTTAACATTTCCCACTGCCTGGAGTGCCTATTATTAATATTGACATTTTGATGTATATACTAATTATTTAAAAGAAAACATTACCCCATATATACTGCTTTTTAAAAACTTCTACACACAAGCAGAACAGTGCATAATTCCTAAGTATACATCTTGCTGAGTTTACACTAAATGAACATACTGTGTAACCAGTCTCTGATCAAGAAACAGAAAGTCTTTGTGTCCCATGTCTCTTTCTACGTACAACCCCCAGGGTAATCGCTATCCTTTTCTAACATCATGCATTAGTTTTGCTTGCTTTTGAACTTTAAATGAATCAATTCTTACAGTTACACCACTTTCTAATCTCAATTTTTAACTTAATATACTGTGGACATATGAGGGTACTTCAAAACCTTTATGGAGGGCTGGCTGGTTAGCTCAGTTGGTTAGAGTACGGTGTTATAACACCAGGGTCAAGGGTTCAGATCCCTGTACCAGTCAGCTGTCAAAAAAAAAAAAGGGTTCATGGAAAACAGAATTAAAAGATAATACGAATCTTTCCGAGAACATTTGGAAGTACCCTTGTATTTATATATTCTATACTGGACAGAATCTATACAATAATAGGAAATACTTTTAAATTTACTGACATTAAAAATAACACTGTGATGGAAATCTTTAAGATTTAGATCTTTAGGGCCGGCCTGTGGCTCACTTGGGAGAGTGTGGTGCTGATAACACCAAGGCCACGGAGTAGGATCCCACAGAGGGATGGCTGGTTAGCTCACTGGGTGAGCGTGGTGCTGACAACACCAAGTCAAGGGTTAAAATCCCCTTACCGGCCATCTTTAAAAAAAAAAAAAAAGATTTAGATCTTTATTTTTTATTTTTATTTTTTTAAAGATGACCGGTAAGGGGATCTTAACCCTTGACTTGGTGTTGTCAGCACCACGCTCACCCAGTTAGCTAACCAGCCATCCCTATGTGGGATCCTAACCCGTGGCCTTGGTGTTATCAGCACCGCACTCTCCCGAGTGAGCCACGAGCCGGCCCCAAGATTTAGATCTTTAAACATAGATTCCTAGGCGCAGAATTTCTGATTTGAAGAGTAAGGATGTTTTTCAGTCTTTTGATACATGATGCATATTGCCAAAGGTTTTTAGGTTCACCATCCCTGTCTACAACTCTGAAATCCAACAAAGTTCTGAAAATTTTAAATTCTTTATAAGTTTATGGCTACAGTGGTTTTTCAAAATTTCTGAAAATTAAAAATTCTTCATATGTTTGTGGCTATATATAACCTTTATTTCACATTATTCCACTTGGAATGTGTTTGATTATGTGGTGCTTTTGGGGTGTTTTCTATTATATGGAATGTGTCCTATATGAGGGTACTTCAAAAAGTTCATGGAAAATGGAATTAAAAGGTAATACGAATCTTTCCATGAACTTTTTTTTTTTTTGGTGGCTGGCCGGTACAGGGATAGAACCCTGAACTTTGGTTTTTATCAGCACTGCGCTCTCACCAACTGAGCTAACTGGCTAGCCCTCCATGCGCTTTTTGAAAACCCCTTGTATTACCTTCCTATAATCTGAAAAATTCCAAATTACCACTTCCATCTTGTCCCCAGGGGTTTTCCGATATGGATTGTGGATCTGTACCACTTTATATCCTCATCAAGCAGCATATAAGCAGGACTGTTTCTTTATACCATTGATGAATTATTTATTTTATTTTAACTTCTCAATATACATTGTAGTTGATTTTTGTGACCCTTTACCCTTTGAATATTATTTTTATTTTTATTTATTTATTTTTATTTTTATTTTTTTAAAGATTACTGGTAAGGGGATCTTAACCCTTGACTTGGTGTTGTCAGCACCACGCTCTCCCAAGTGAGCTAACCGGCCATCCCTATATAGGGATCCGAACCCTTGTGCTTGGTGTTATCAGCACCACACTCTCTCAAGTGAGCCATGGGGCCCTGAATATTATTTTTAAACTTTACTCATCTGAGAGTAAACAAACAATAAAAGGGTATCTCATTGTTTTGATTTAGATTTCTCTGATTTTGATTTTGTTTGTGAATGACTTATTGAAGTCTGTGATGGATTGTATTTTTGTTTGAAAATATCACCCAATAGGGTAGTTAACTCATCCTGGTTTATTTGGAACTTTCCTGATTTTAACTGTGCAAACCAAGGAGGTTGGTTACCCTATTTGGCTACGTGATTCCTTTTGCCCTGTGGAATATTATTGAATGTGTCATATGCCTGGTTGAAGCAGAAATGTTAAATGCAACTGTATGTGGTATCTCAGTCTCTCCTATGCTTCTGCCATGAGAACAGCCTGCTCCATGTAGGCATTTCTCATTCAGCTTGGGTCTTGGAATAAGACTCACAACTGATCCAGAGCCCCCACACAACATGAGGGAGAAATAAATAAACCTTTTGTAAGTCACCAAGATTTTGGGGATGTTTGTTATGCAGCAAAATTGACCAATGCTATGTGTTACACCAATTTTCTTTGGATTTATTTATTTTTTATGACTTTTAAGAATACTTCATGTTAAGTATATTAACCTATAGTTAATAATATGTATATATTTTTACCCTGCTTGAAATTTTTTTTTTTTTTAAAGATTATCACGGGCCGGCCTGTGGCTCACTCGGTAGAGTGCGGTGCTGATAACACCAAGGCCGCGGGTTCGGATCCTATATAGGGATGGCCGGTTTGCTCACTGGCTGAGCGTGGTGCTGACAACACCAAGCCAAGGGCTGAGATCCCCTTACCGGTCATCTTTTTAAAAAAAAAAAAAAAGATAAAGATTATCACATCCATTGCCAATAGCTTTAATTTTAGGAACCAAACTTTGGTAGAATTCCCCTTTCTTTGGGGCCGGCCCGGTGGTGCACTGCTACAGTGCGCCGCTTGGGAAGCGGGTGGCGCTCCCGCCGAGGGTTCGGATCCCACGTGCAAACCGGCGGCTCACTGGTTGAGCGAGGAGCGGGGGCAACGCCGAGGGTTGCGATCCTGTTGCCGGTCCCAGTCCGGTGCGGGCGCGACACTGAGGGTTGCGATCCGTTGCCGGTCACGAAAAAAAAAAAAAAAAAGAATTCCCCTTTCTTTTATTTATTTTTTTATATGTTGATCAAATCAATATTACTAGCACATATCTTGTCACAAATCGTACTTGTTCTTTATGCCCCTTGTCCAATCTCTCCCCATCCCCCTCTCCTTCCTCCCTTCCCCCTCTAATTACCCTAGATTTCTTCTCTCTTTCTGAAAGAGTAATGGTTACTCTGTTGATTTGTTGCCCAGATGATCAGTCCAATGCTGAGAGGTGGGTTCAGGTCCCCAATATTATCATAGACCAGATGCTGCTTCTGTCACTCTGGAATTGGCTTTGTGGAGAGAGACATCCTCTTCTTTTCTTTGGTCCCTGCTGGTGACTCCCCTCGTGTCAATGCATTCCAGTGGCTGGCAGACCATCTGCGTGGTGGTTGTGGCATCTAGCCACTTTCGTGGCAGCTGTGGTTATTGTGGTGGCTGTGGTGGGCCACCCACATGGAGGTGATATTTTTTGCATGTTCCTTGGCTCTGGCGGTGTGCCTGGTTGTGTGTGGGGTGTCCAGTCCCTCGCTGCATGCCTCAGGACCCTGGGCAGGCCCCAAGGTGCTGGTGGTGTGCCTGACTGTGGGACGGGGGTCTGGTCCCCGGCTACCCTGCTTGAAATTTGTCTTAATTTTACGTCTGATAAATTCCAATTTACCATTCATGTGATTAAATGTATCCACAGTTTCCTTTATGGTTTCTGCCTTTCATGTCACCTTCAGGCTTCTCTGCTCCAGGTATATTTAAATATTCACCTATATTTTCTTCTTGCATTTTTACAGTTTCATTTGCTTTTGCTTTAACATTGTTAACACATCTAGAACTTAATTTGGTGTGAGGTGAGTATGTAACATAATTTCTTTCTGATTAGCCAACTAGTCCTAATGGCATTTATTAAAGATTTTATTCTTTCTCCATTGACTTGAAATACCATCTTTTTAAAATTCTTTTTTGGGCTGCTGGCAAATACAGGGATTGAACCTTGAACCCTGGACCTTGGTGTTATCAGTACCACACTCTAACCAAGTGAGCTAACAATCTAGCTCTCATCTTTTATTACATATTAAATTTCTGCATATACTTAGGTCCGTTGTCAGCATCACGCTCACCCAGTGAGCAAACCGGCCATCCCTATATGGGATCCGAACCCGTGGCCTTGGTGTTATCAGCACTGCACTCTCCCGAGTGAGCCACAGGCCGGCCCTAGGTCCGTTTTTGTATGCTGCTCTGTTCTGTTGATTTCTTTGTTTATTGCTGCAGCTGTTCAAGTAAGTCAGGATTGTCCTAATTATTTTTTTATTTTTTATTTTTTTGGCAGCTGGCTGGTATGGGAATCCAAACCTGTGATCTTGGTGTTAGAAGGCTGCACTCTAACCAACTGAGCTAACCGGCCAGCCCACTATTATTCTTTATAGGGCTTATTTATTTATTTCTTTTTCTTCTCGGTAATCTCACCTGTTTTTCTTCCAAATTAACTTTAGTGTCATTGTCAAGTTAAAAAAAAATCTGTTGGCATTTTAATTATAATGACATTGTATTTAAAAAACTCTTTTTGAAGACCTGACATCTATGGTTTATTTTTCTCTTCTAGAAACAAAATGTATGCACACTTTTAATGTTTGTTAATTTAAAGTTTTGAGACCTTTGCCATATATCTGCATTGTTGCCAGACTGGATTTGGCCTAAATTAACTGAAATTTCAGAAGTCAGCTTCCAACCCTGCCAAAAAAAAAGTGTGTCAGAAGTTAAGATGATCAAAGGAAAAATACTTTTCCATAGATTGATGATTCCTGATTTATATGAGAAAGTGGAATTAGAACTGGAAATGGTATTTAGGAAACACAAACATTTTGCAATTTTATAAATTTCTCTTTTGTCCTGAAAGTGAATCGTCCAGACCACACTTATGTACCTTATAAGGGAGACATATATGAGGATATAAAAGCTTTCTGATTAGGTTTGTAAGCTAGTCAGCCTCTTTTGCTATGAACATTTAGCAGTAGCAGTAAATGAAAGAGTTTCCTTAATCAGGGAGAAGTTCAGTTTTTACCAGGTGGCTTTAGAACATATGACTGCTAATCAGTACCCTCAAGTGACAATGGAGATCCAGAGACATGTCAAGGCAGGTGCTGAAGTCCACATCTAGATTCTTTATCATAGGACTGTTGTGCAGGTGGCTTATCACACACACTGACTTTTTCTGTCACTTTCACCAAGTTGCCTCATGGGCTAGCTGTGGCTCTGCTTTGTCATCTACTACCTAATTATGGCTTTAATCAAGATGGAAATCAAGTAAAATTTATCTTATGCCAATTCCACAGTCTAGGATACTGATGCTTTGAAGTAAATTGCTGTTTGTTTTTAAAATTGTTCTTTTAAAGTCCTATTTTCATGTGGCATATGCTGAGTTTGGAAAAGCTAAATCTTGAAGACAGAATTTCAGTAAGATTAAAAAAAAATACCGTAATAGGATACCAGAATTTTTCCCATGCATTTTCATGGATAGAATTGAATTGTTAAAATTTCCCCATCAAAATAAGGAGGTGGTGATAGAATATGGCTTACAGATACATCTTTATGAAAATGTGTCCATCTTTTTTTTTTGGTGGTTGACCAGTATGTGGATCCGAACCCTTGACCTTGGTGTTATCAGCACCATGCTTTAACCAACTAAGGTAGCCCAACTGGCCAGCTCATGTCCATCTTTGAAAAGTAATCTATTGGAAGCACATTTGTAATTTTTACATTGCCTTTTTATCATAGGTGAAGTGTTCGTCTTAAACGATGGTGGAGAAGTTGATTTAGACCTTGGAAATTACGAAAGATTCTTGGATATTAATCTTTATAAAGACAACAACATCACCACCGGGAAGATATATCAGCATGTGATCAATAAAGAGAGGCGTGGTGATTACCTGGGGAAAACAGTACAAGGTATCATATTCCACAGACATTGTGGAGCCCTGTGCGCTGGCACCTGCACGCTGCTCAAAAATAGAAGTGAAAATGTCGAGGTCCCTGAGCTCTGCAAGTTCTAATCTTTTCTAAATCCCTGCATTTTTTTCTTTTTCGTCAAAAATGTCCAGTTCATCCTCCATGTTCCCTACATGTTCCCGATTACATTTCCATCACTCTGTTTTTCTTTTTTACTAATATTATTGTTCTTTGTAGTCCATGTATCTGTCCATGTCTCTCTCTTTTAGCTTTGGTTTAGAAAAGCCACGGAGAACCCTCTATTCATCATCTTTACCTAACTGGAGTGCAGAGTTTTTTGTTTTCTCTTTTGTCTGTCTTTTATTTAATATGTTCTTTTTCTCCTTTTTTCTCTTATCTTCTCATGGATGATGATTTCCTGATGTCCTTTGAAGAAGAACAGCATTGGGGAGGGACTGGGGATTGAACTGGGGTGGCAGGCATTATGGTCTGCTGATTCCTGACTCTTCTCACCAACCCTTTGCCTTAGGTGGTATGATTCTCTTTTGTCTTAGAAGAAACCCCCCTGGCACCCTCTGAAGTCTTGTATCCCTGTGTTTCTCTGTGGTAGGGTAAATGGGATAATTCCCCATCCCCTTTACATCACTTTCAAGTTGGAACCAGCTGAGAAATACACATAAGCATGAGACAGATGGTGACCAAAAGATCAGCTGTGCTACAGCTGAAACGGGACTGTGCTTAGATCTCAGCTACAACTGAGTTTGTGAATAGTTTTTCCCAGGGGTAGGTCTTGGGAAGACACACCAGAGGGAGAGTCGCTGCCTCACATCTGCCACGTCCCCATGATAGGGAGACCCGACCCCGGACCCCTAGTCCCTGAGCTGCCCACATAGAAGCAGAGCCTGGCAGCTGGGGGCTGGGTGGGCATGCACAGGTCACCGATCGGAGAGACTTTTTTTCTGCCTCAAGAGAGCAGCAGGCGCGGTAGAGGCTTCCTGGAGGCCATCGTTTGTACTTTCTGCATCAAGTCTGGAGGCTGTGTTGAGTCCCCAGGAGCCTGTAGTATGTCATCTTTTTGTCTGTTCAGCTGAGATCAGCAGCTGCGGGCCTGTTTGCCACCACTGAAGAGACCCCTGGGTCCCACGTGCCTGCAGACATGTGCCTTTTCGGCCTCTTCCACTGACATTAGTAGCCGGGGTCCGCTGACCCCCGCTGGGTCCCCTCATCAGCACGCCCTCGGAGCGGCCCCCTCCCCGCTGCCCCAATGGCTGGTGTTCCCTCCAGAGGCTGCGGGCTTGGTGGGTGCACCCCGGGGGGCTGCTCTGAATCCCTCCTCCCCGCAGAGTCCAGCATGCAGCCTGCTGGGCTGCCCTCCTGCCCAGTTTTTAGTTGGCATTATAGTGTTTTCTGGTTTCATTGAAGGTGGCACTTCTTTTTAGTGGTTCTTGTTTTCTGTGACTGGTTGGTTTAAGAGCAATGGACTAATACTGAAGTGATGGAGCCAAAGTTGCATCAGCACGTGTTGATTTCAGTGAGGGAAGATAACAGCATGAGGACCACAGCTTGTCTAATTTGTGGGGGACTTTGGAGTTGTTTGGGAGGTCTAAAGTACCTTCCTGGGCCGAGCCCGTGGTGCACTGGGGAGAGTGCGGCGCTGGGAGCGCAGGGACGCTCCCGCCGCGGGTTTGGATCCTATATAGGGATGGCCGGTGCGCTCACTGGCTGAGCGCGGTGTGGGCGACACCAGGCCAAGGGTTGCAATTTCCTTACCGGTCTCGAAATACACACACACACACACACACACACACACACACACACACACACACACACACAAATAAAATAAAGTACCTTCCTTTCTCATGAGCATGAAACAAGCTTTTGTGGTAATTGTCATTGCTTCTTTCCACAGTTGTCCCTCACATTACTGATGCTGTGCAGGAGTGGGTTATGAATCAAGCCAGAGTGCCTGTGGACGGTAATAAGGAAGAGCCCCAAATATGCGTCATTGAGGCAAGCATGGAACTTTTCTTTATAAACTTATATCCTTTTGGGTCTTTAGGCATCTGATATTAATTTATTCAGCAAATACACACAGAGGGCCTTCTAGGTGCCCGGGCACTGGGCTAGGAGGTGGAGTTACAGCAGGTAGAACATAGATGGTCCCTGCCTTGTCATCACAAGTCATGGGCAAGATTGGCATTAGGCATTTACTCCTGGGGGAGGGGGGGCGTGCAGTGCTCTGCAGACCGATCAGTCGCTTATAAAGTCAATGGGAGGGCCTTCTCTGTGCCCGGGCTTAGCATGGGCAGTCTCTGCCCTTGAGTAGCTTGCAGACAGCCCTGTCCACACATGACAGAGTGCATTCTAGTGCATGCTAGTTGAAAAGTATTTGCAAAGTGCTTTGGAAGTAGAGAGATACTGAGTTAGGGAAGTCGCATGGTAGAGATGATTTGGAGGTGGGAAGTATTAGCTGTTTAAAGAAAGAATGTAGTATTTCAACTTGCCACTTGTTCACTGCTTTCGAAGAGAATGAGAATAACATCTGTGCCTTCCTCATCCAAATGTCAATTGAATTAACTGCCAGGCAGGAGAACAGAATCATAAACAGTTTGGTTCCTAGAGTCAGCCTGCCCAGGTTCAAATTTCTGCTGTGACCCCTGAGCTGGTATATAGCTCAGTGGTTAAGAGTCTGGAGCCAGACTGCTTGGGTTTGTAGCCTAGCTGGGTCACTTACCAACTGGGTGACCTTGGGCAAGTTTGCTTAAAACTTCTCTGTGCCTCAGTTTACTTATCTGCTAAATGGGGATAATGATAATACTTAACTCATTGTTTTGAGGATTAAATAAGTTACTACACTCAGTGCTTAGAATGGTATCAGAGCATAGGGAGTGCTCTAAAACTCTTAGCTAGAGGGCCAGCCCGTGGCTCACTCGGGAGAGTGTGGTGCTGATAACACCAAGGCCATGTGTTTGGATCCTATATAGGGATGGCCGGTTCGCTCATTGTCTGAGCGTGGTGCTGACAACACCAAGCCAAGGGTTAAGATCCCCTTACCGCTCATCTTTAAAAAAAAAAAAAAAAATTCTTAGCTAGTATTAAGATGTCTGTATGACTTTTGGCAAATTACTTCTCACAGCTCCAATGTACTCATCTATAACAATATGGTAATCATGTAATATCGTTACACCAACAAGATGATAATAATAAGGTTGTTGTGAGGATTAAATGCAATAATATAAAGCACTTGGCAATGTCTGGCATTTAGGAAGTGCTCAATAAATACATGTTAGCTGCTGTTATTGTCATCATTATAAGTGTTAGCAGATAGTACACTATGTAGAAGATCCATTTTGTTAATAGTAGAGCTGATACTTAATATAAATGCGCTATATTATCATATATTAACTGTATATTGTACTACTGTAATAGTATGGCTGATAAACTTAACATAAATGTGTAATGTGGTGTGCTATACGAAATTTTCTCCTCTGGTGTTTCTTCCTTCACAATTTTTACCGAGAAAAGAGAGAGTGTTTCCTTATCAATTGGTAGCTGGCCAGTACAGGGATCGAACTCTGGACCTTGGTGTTATTGGCACTGTGCTCTAACCCACTGAGCTAACTGGCCAGCCCCTGGGAGTGCTTCCTTTATGCTTTTTTTTTTGGCGGCTGGCTGGCATGGATATCTGAACCCCTGACCTTGGTGTTGTAACACCATGTTCTAACAAATTGAGCTAACAGGCCAGCCTATAATTTTTTTTAAATTGGAGTATAACATATACACAGAACAGTGCACACGTCATAGGTATATAGCTTGATGAAATTTTTTTTTTTTTCCTTTTTTTTGTCTTCTTTTTTCGTGACTGGCAACGGATCGCAACCCTCAGTGTCGCGCCCGTACCGGACTGGGACCGGCAACAGGATCGCAATCCTCGGTGTTGCGCCCGCACCTCGCTCAGTCAGTGAGCAGCTGGTCTGTATGTGGGATCTGAACCCTCGGCGGGAGTGCCGCCGCGCTCCCACCGAGGGTTCGGATCCCACATACAGACCAGTTCCCGCTCACTGGCTGGGCAAGGGGTGGGGGC